GGACGAAGTGGCAAACGTTGACCATTGGAGGTGGTGCTACTTGGCATCAAAAGCTTGCTTGCTTGTTTCAGCCTACTTCAGTAAGTTGGCTTCAGAGATGCTCACAGATGTGGGTGGCTCTTCACCATGCTTGTCAGCTTAATACAAGCCTTTCTCAGATCTCATGGCTAACCTGAACGTACTTAAATAAGTTCCTGGGCCTGCCTTAGAAAATGTTTATGCATATTGTCAGAGACCGACTGTAGCGAACTTCCTATAAAATGCTTAACATAGCCTATGCGCACATAATTGGTATGCCAACCGACGGCAATTTATAGGTATCCGAAAGTCATTTCAGTCAGCTAATGTCCTCCGAAAACCATCCTCCATCAGGTTGTCCAGATTGGCTAGCTAAGATTGCCCACCGTATAGTTGCGTTGTCAGGGAAACTACTCTGTACTTTTATTTTGGCAGTTAATAGCATGCGGAATTAGGGATTTCCGATGAAAACGACAATTTACTTTTCTACAACCATAAAAGCCTTCGCAATATTGAGTATCTGAAACCACTGGCTCTGCTTTTATGACAAGTCGGTTTTCAAGGGGATGAGTAAGGTTTTTGAAATGAAACGGTTTATGGAATTTTAAAGCAAATACTCGGAACCGTTAACTACCAATATTCAAGTCACGAAGATGAGCTGTGTTGTCAGGGGGGCTACCTTGTACTTGTTATCGTTGAATTTAAGAACATGCGGAATCAAGGATTTTCGGTGAAAACGAAAATTCACTTTTTCTGTAGCCATAAAAGCTAAGTAGGTGAAGCCGTTTTATTTTGCTTTTATGAGGAGCATGTTTTCATGTGGATGAGTTATTTTTTTAACGAAAGTGCTTTTGGAATAGCAAAGTGTATGCTCGCAATTATTAAATACAAAAATAGAATGCCTGAGGATATGATTTTAAACGCGTGTAGTAAAAACATTCCAGAAAGCAAAAGCGTCTGATAGAAACATAGAAAAAGGAGAAAAATTACACACTTCTGTCTGGGAACTCAGAAATCGACAGTCAGCCTGAGATCTAAGGAGTCAGGTTTTGTGCTTAGCCATACTATAACTGGGTCTTATTATTATTATTATGTACATTTAGACGCATTTGCGCATGTCGCAAGAAAGACGAACTTTGTCATTTCTCGTATAAAAAGAAACGTTCACTGAAATTATCATCAGTAAATAAGTGCAGTCCACCAAAATTGTCATAAAACAAACTTTGTAAGTGCATTCTAGTCACTTTACCAAAACACAATAGTATTCGAAGACCTTAAACACTTATTTGGGAAAGGGTTTTCGGACAAACTCCCATGAAAAAGAATAAGTTCTGGGTTAGAGGGGAGAGGGAGGCTGAACAGACAGGCAGACACACAAATGCGTCATTTCATGCGTGAATGAAGAGTATGATGCAATTTTTTCAAGGCAGTTCGCGGGCCAAAGACGGTTATTTAGCGGTATGCTTGTCGGCGGCTCACTTCCAACGGTGAAGGTCTGATTATGGGTTGTAGTTAGGCTCCATTATTCTGCCTCAACAGTCAAAAAGAACGAGCAATGAAGCATGCTTAGTGAATAGACACTGTCCTCAGGGGGTATGTTCGTAGTGCAATACGACTTTGTTCCTTTTACGTGAAGCGTATGCTTGAAGCACCGACTTTTACGTAGAGGGAGCACACAAAAAAATCACAGGCGCCAGTCAAGAGGATATGGGATTCATAAAGAGCGTCTGTCGGCCGTTGAAAAGGTCACTGTCACGGGGATTACAAAAAAAACAAATCTATACTATTTTTAGACAACCCTCGGAGAAAAGACCGTACGGAAAAAGGCGCCTGTACATTTAACGAGAGAGAGAGAAAGGTGTAAGCCGAAGTGAATGCATAAGAACAAAAGAGGCGAATACGCAGCCTACGGGTCATCGTAGCTTGATAAATTTTCGTTCAGGAACGTGGTTCTCGCCCAGCAGTATACAAGTACGAAAACCGGAACAGTTCTTAAAGTGAAGTCGTAGGAATGTCTGTCGACGCAATGACAGAAAACCCTGACGTTTTTCACAGATTTGTGGTCAGCAGATATAAGTGGTCTATTGAAAAGCTGGAATCACGCTTTTTACGCAAAGGGAGAATAGATCTGCTATTAATTTGATCGTACTGCCCGTTCCAAAAATATAGAGAGCAAAGTGGGGAGAGATGGACTTGGCGAGTAGCAATAACAACTGCGACAAAAAAGAACAGACAGTCGGGATAAGGACGTGAATGTCAACAGCCTGAACCAGTGTGTTCAGTGTAAACTGTCGGCGGTACATCAGACATCCCCTGCACGCGGGCTTTCTAGTTGTGCAGAAGGGCGTGTTCTAAGGGCATCTATGTTCGTTTGTGATATGTTGGCTTTGCTTAGCGCTCAACTGCCTGTTCGTTGACTGTTACACTGATCCACAGGCACAGTATGCCTGGTTTTGGCTGAAACTGTCTCTTAATTTCGGCACTTTATGAGCATCTTGAAAGGCTGCCTAGAGTATCTTACACTGTTATACACTCCACCGAGTAACTTGCCCTGCTTCAACAGACATAAGTAGAAGCAGTTATTGCAAAATATGACTTAATTTCGGGACCCAGAAAAACAAATTTGAAAATGCGAAGAGCGCAACCTGTGTACTAACGCCTACTTGGACTAGTTAACTTAACGCCGGATGTTATTTTAAATTTGACCGCAATTTGAAAACTGTAAGTTAGGACGAAGAAGACGAATCGATCGATCGAACAATATTTTTATTCGCCTGACGTTTCGACATCCGTCGCGGATTCATCATCAGACGCATTAGTAAAACCGGTAGCAGAAGCTGTAAGCTAAGATATACTTAAAATAAAACTGAATTTTTAGTCCAATATGTTGCATGTTAACTAATAGATTATTAGTCAGATTTATAATTTTTTTTTAAATTGTTTTTTTCCAATTGTGAGTGTTTTCGCCCGTTTCTTGTGCAAATATGCTCCCCCCGGTCGGAGGACCTCTCTATAAAAATTGCTTTCTAGTTTTTAATCCTGCGATTTGCCTGGATGGGATAGCCTAAGCGGTCCAGAAAAGGAAAATTCGGACCAGAGACAATTACCGTCACCGAAAATAAAGTAGTAGAGGATATGGCAAGCTCAATAAAAAAAATACTGCATATGTTGGTGCTACGCATAAAACTGTTCGATTTAGCTTATCGGACTGCTTTGGAAACGTTGGTTACTTTTTAGATTTTGAGGAGGGTTCAAATGAAAGCTTCCCAAAGATGTTCCGTAAGTTTCATTGATCATGCGCATTTCTTTATGTCCAAACTTTTCCACACAAAACACTTTTAAGGCATGCATATCATCACGTTATTTCTACTGTTGGATGACCTTCCACACGATCGTCCCTTCACATCCCCGCAGATTCAGGGAGAGCACACCAAGATCCACTTACGCCGCTCGGCGTGATTTGAAGGTCAATTACCCAAGATTGCCCTTTCGTCTGCGTCGGCGCTTTGGGCGGTCTTTCTACCCCG